CTGTTGTGAGATGGGGTCTCACTGGGTCACCAGGCGTGGAGTGCAGGTGTGCAACTCCGAAGGGCTCGACTGCAAGCCTTCACCTCCCAGGTCAGGCGCATTCGTCCGCCTCAGGCCGCCCAAGTAACTGGGACTTACAGGTGCCGGCACACGACACGGCGGGCTAATTTTTGTATTGTGTAGTAGAGATGGGGTTGCCACCAATAAAAAAAAACCACACACAAAAAAACAAAACAAATCCCCTTGACACAAGTTTATCTATCTAACAAACCTGCACATGTATCCCTGTGCTTAAAAGTGAAAAAAATAAAGGCAATATGTGTCAGATTTGTGGTGCTGTCTGCTGTTTCGCCCCCATATGGAAATGTGTGCCTGACTCCCGCTTTTTTCCTTGCTTATTGTGGCTAGGATTTGTGAATGGAATTACCATTCTCAAGAATGAGTTTTTTGGCTTCATTGAGTTTTCACATAGTTGTTTTGTCCTCATTAGTAACTCCTCTTGTTATTTTTGTCCACTTCCTCACACCTTCATTTGGAATAATTTGTCGTTCTTTTTCTAAATTCTATCATTGCCAAGGTCATTAATTACGTAGGTTTTATTCTTTTCTTTTTTTTTTTTTTTTTTTGGCTTTTTTTTTTTTTTTTTTTTTTTTTTTTTTTTTTTTTTTTTTTTTTTTTTTTTTGAGACGGAGTCTCGCTCTGTCGCCCAGGCTGGAGTGCAGTGGCCGGATCTCAGCTCACTGCAAGCTCCGCCTCCCGGGTTTACGCCGTTCTCCTGCCTCAGCTTCCCGAGTAGCTGGGACTACAGGTGCCTGCCACCTCGCCCGGCTAATTTTTGTATTTTTAGTAGAGACGGGGTTTTACCGTGTTAGTCAGGATGGTCTCGATCTCCTGACCTCGTGATCCGCCCGTCTCGGCCTCCCAAAGTGCTGGGATTACAGGCTTGAGCCACTGCGCCCGGCTGGTTTTATTCTTTTCTAGTTCATTCACTCATTTGTAGTTTTCCGATTTCATCATTTAATGTGTAATATTTACATTATCATTCAATTTATACCATTCTCTAATTTCTGTTTTAATTTTCTCAGCTCATTGATTTATTGAGAAGTCTGTGGCTTTATTTCAAAAATGCAAGGATATTAGTCATCTTTAACTGCAGAATTGAGTGAGTCCCAAAGTTCCCAGGATATCCTCGTGGTCTCTGTTAGGGGTCCAGGCTGGCTGGGGTTCATTGGTGTCCACTGGTGGCAGCTCCCATGCCTTCTGGAATCCCTGAGTCTCCTTCTGTTCAGTGTAGGATCTGGGTCCCCCATGGGCTAGTGGATGGCCAGTCTCAAAGACTCTGGGCTCAACTGGAGGTTCCCCTTCCTGGGGTGGAGGAGGCTCAGTTGCCTCCCGTCTGAGGGTCAAGCTCTGCAGCTGGGCGTAGGTCACATCCTGGGGGTCTTCAGATGCAGCAGCCTGCAGTGGGGGAGAGTGAGAGGGAAGGAGCGTGGTGGGGGCGGGGGAGGCCTGGGGGCCTGGAGAGGAAAGGACTCACCTCAGTGTCCATCTGCCTGTCCTCTTCCACCTGTGTGTCCTTTGTGTCCAGGAATTCCTCGGACAGTGGGGAGGGAGGGGAGGTCATTTCTCTCCTAGATCTGGAGTGTTTCACCTGGGCGTATGTCACTGTCTGGGGGTCTTCATCGTGTGGTCTCTGCTGGAGAAAGACAGTGGTGGGGGGTGTCCTTGAGTCCCCCTGACCCCCTGGAGTCAATTTTCCCCACTGTTCCCAGGGTGATCCGATTACATCCCTTTCCTGATGGAATCTCAGGGATGCCCTAAGGCCGTGGAGGGTCTGGCCGCTCCCTCCCTGTGGTTCTGGCCTCTCCTCACTCTGACCTTGCCCATTTGGCTGCAGCCTAATGCCCACCTTCCTGCAAGAGCTTGCTGCTGCCTCAGGACCTTTGCATGGCTGTTTCCTCTGCCTGCAGGGGCTTGTCCATTAGAGGATCCTGTGGCTCCCTCCGTCCAGGCTTCTCAGATGACAGCTGAGCAGACAGCCCTCCCCTTACATTCAGACTGGCCCCACTGCCCCACACTCTCTGCCCTTTCCCTGGTTTATGTTTCTTACAGCACGCTGCACTCCTGCACACATGCATTTATTTGCATTTTGTCTCCCACCACGAGGTGAGCTCCAGAGGCGGGGGTGGCTCTGCTCCCTGCTGTGTCTGCAGCTCCCACAGGGAGCCTGATCCACAGTGAGCTCCTGGGAACACTGGCTGGATGAATGAATGAAGGGAGCCCAGGGGAGCGGGATGGTTAATCTATTCCTCATCCTCCTGAGGCCTGGGGAGCGCCCTAACCACCAGACGGCCAAACAGAGGAGGAGGAGCGGGAAGGGGACCCGGGAGGAGGCCTGCGAGGTCCCAGGACAGCAGGAGAGAGTGAGGTCACAGCAGGCGGGAGGCAGCGTGCTGGACAAGGAGGGGTCCACGGTGACGATGCTGAGA